AATTATGCTATTGCAGCAGAAATTCAGCAATATTGTTGAGCTTTCATGTGCTACGTTTCATGAGCAGTAAACAGAGTTGCAAGTACAAAAAGCTTCATTTGTGATTTGACAACTCTGACACATACTACGTCTCATACAGAATGATGCATACCTACCTGAAACCGACTCCACACAAGATGTAATCTATCACCAAGACCACAGGGATGTCTTTACATGCCTGTCATGATGTGCTGGGTCGGCAGGTTTTTTTTTTTTTTTTTTTGCCCCCTAAGGTCAGATTCTGTCAATTATTCCAAGGGGGAAGAAATAACAGTGCAATTAATTTCAATCTTTGGCATGACGGCAATACCACATGGTCTTTTTATGCACTTGTGATGCATCAATAGTTATTTTGCCATGCAAACTGTAACAGAGTTGGCTTTTTAACTTCCCTCATCACTGCTAATATACAGTATGTCTTCAGGTCTGGTATAGTATGGTATGGTATGGTACGGTATCCTACAGTATGGTATGGTGTAGTATGGTATTGTACAGTATGGTATGGTATCATACGGTACAGTATGGTATGGTATGGTATGGTATGGTATGGTATGGTATGGTATTGGTAGTATGGTATGGTATGGTATGGTATGGATTGGCGCCCAGAGTGTTCCAGTGGTTTGACTTTCATCTGCCACCTGAAGGCTCTGTGCTTTAGAGCACCAGGGTTAGCTCAGATACATGTAGCATTCACAGTGTGTTGTCATCGGCGTTTATGCCCTTGTATTTACTCAATCTTACCTTGCATCAATGGGGGCTGTTTTCCATTGATATTCTAGCTCAGCCTGTGTGTCAAAAGCAGTTTGTTGAGTCGTGCTGCACAAGGCACACAGCGTTTGACAGTGTGTCTTTGAATTTAATTACCTACAGCTGCTTCAGAGCAAATAGAATGATCTGTAGGATCAGCAGATGTGACAAAGCCTTGCTTGGACCGGCCCGCCCCGACACGAATGCTCGTGCACGCGCAAGCTGCACCTCTGTTCTCACATGAGATAAATTTAACAATAGAGGAAGAAGAACAGATGAGGGAAGGAAGCACAATTTTAAGCTGCTTGCGAGAAAGAAAGGAGAAAAAAAATCACTCTCTTCTGAAAAGGTCACACTTTGATATGCTGGAGGATATGGGACTGATGCTTCTGTTGTTGGATCACAGGGGTTGATAACGTGGTCATGGAAGAACATTTGCCCTGTTGATGTGGGACTTCACATCAGCACGGCCGTTCCTCCGGTTTAATTAGTAAGCAGCTCAGCTTTGTGCTTCTGTGAGGACAGAAAGTTTATCATAAGACAAGAAAACCCACCCCCCGTTATAGAAATTAACACAATGTGGATGTGAATAAAAGCTGCTGTGATTGCCTTTATGTGTTTATGGTGCTTGAAGAGGTTATTAGAAAGTCATTAAAGCATATTTTCCTGGTTTAGAATATGAGCAAAATTATACAGCCTCTGCTTTCTCTCTCTATTCATGCATTTGAATTTCTGGTGTGCATGTTTGACTTCTCTGTTCTGTATGTCAGTGATCCCCAACCGCCGGGGCAGGGACCAGTACTGGACCATGGAGTGTTTGGTATCAGGCCAACCAGAAAATATAAATATAAAATCACATTAGTCTGAATGGTATTTTATTTTGAAAGCTTAAGCACCGAGGGAGCAGTGTGCAGTGAACGCACCTCAGTGATAACTTGGCAGCTGGTGGACTCGAACCTTCTGGACCTAAGTATGCTTCTTTAACCACAAAGCCAACACTGCCCCGTGATGCAGAAAAAAAAATGTTCCCGCAATTCTTTAGGCAGTTTCTGTGTCCTTACATTATCACAGTCTTGGATGAGAGATGGACAACATTTTAGTTTCTCCAGTCAAATAGCAAAATACAGCTTTTTGATCATTTGTCTGGGCCTCCACATATGTCATCATCCAAAAAGAAGTTGGTCGTTGTAACCAAAGGGTTAAACCGTCCTTGTTTGTCCAAAAAGGTCAGTTATCGTCCTCCTGCTCTCTGAAACCCATGTTTGCTCATTAGCAGATGACAACAGTCGTGCCATGGGAAACTGGTTTGGGAAATCACTTTCACACTGGGAAAATGCTAAGTCTCAATTTCCCTGGAACCCAGCAGAGCGGAGCTAACTGCCAAATTGGTATTGACAAAGGGACTGAGAAAAGAGACTAAGACAAAACACACAGACAGAAAGGAGGAGGAAAGACACACAGAGATCCGCACAAGCGAGAACTATAGTTAGAATGCGAGGCTCAAAACCAGATGGTCAAACTGGTATTGTCTGTGGCACCTCTGAGCGCTTGAACTTCCCAAAGCCATTTATAACCACAGTGAAGGCAGCTAAGACGGGGAGGCTTATCAAATGACATTTTCAGCCTCTTAAGCAAGCCACAACTGCAGGCAACACGGTCGGAGACAGCCGAGGACAAAGGACTTAGGACAGGGATCAACAGCAGCTCGAGTGCTTAGTTAAATGTCACACATTTCAGCCGCAATTGTTTCTGTTGTTTGAGTAACTGCTGTTCGTGTATTTTTCTTTTTTCTTTTTTTTTTTTTTTTTTGTAATTCCGAAATGCAAAAGGGCAAGAAGGAAGCTACGAGAGAGGATACAAAGACGGAGAAAGCCAACAGTGGATAACTGCTGTGAGACGCTCGTAGCTAATCATTTAATCTCTGGCACTTGGAGAATACAAGCAAACTTGTAATTCTGCCGACCTTGACGTGAACCACGGGGTCGCCGGGGAGCTGGGTCGTTTTGCATTCCCTGCAGATGCACTGCAGAAAAACGCGAAACAACTGTTGAAGTAGATAAATAGAGATGCAATTAAATTCTTTCTGGCCCCGCCCACAAACACACACAGCTTATTAACTTTTTTCGGGCAGTGGAACATTATCGGAAATGATTTTGAATGACTGAAATTGTAACCTAATTTATTATAGTTTCAGTGAGTATTTGTTCTGGCACTTTTTCTTAGCTTTTGTCAATAAATGGCTCCTGTTATCGTTTATGTTTAGCCATAGTCTGTTAAGGAATGATAATTGGCATTTCCGCAGCTAATCCCCACGTTAATGGACTAATGAGTAATTAGTCTGTGTGGCAAAAACAGATGCCTTGAAAAGGTGACAAGCGTATGTTTGTAGGAGTTTGGGTGTTTGTGTGCATCTGTGTTCTTTGGTGTGTGTGTGTGTGTGTGTGTGTTTCTGTTGGCAGCGGAGTTGCTTTTATATAATTAAGGCACTTCTGTCCTCCCAACAACGCCACATTAGCTCTGTTATTGAATATCCTTGGTGTTTAAATATGATTACTCTCCAGACAAATTTAATTTCAGTTTTCAGCAGTTTCACTTTAAAAGCTCGGGGGCTTTTTGTTAAACCAGTGTGGGTTTTTTAGTTTATTCCACTGAGGGATAACAGAGCTGACCTCCTCTCAGAGTCTCAACCTCAAAACAACGCCAACTTAATGCCTACTAAGTGCTACTAGGGATTTTTCAAAATGTATTTCTACAGCATGCGATACCAGCACAGCCGTTGCTGTGTGTGATAAATCAAACCTCTGTAAAGTGTGTTATGAGCCAAAACTTCTTGTTGTTGTTTTTCTTTTTATAAGATAGACATTCAAATAACTAAAATGTGTCTATTCTTGACGTGTCTGATTTTTTTTTCTGAGAGGTGACGGACAATGTTTAAATTGGACAGAAGGACAACATTTTGCTTTTCACAAGACAAAAAAAAACAAAAAAAACAAATACACATATAATCTGACTCAATTTTCAAAGCACTCAGTATTCTCACAATTTTATTTTCAACCTTAAATGTTTGTTGGAGAGTTTAACCTTCAACTGGACATAGCGTCACTGCTTGTGCTTTTTTTAGGTGCCATATTTTACCATCATGAGCCGAACCCCTCAAAAGCCCATAACGTCCATCCCTAAAATTATTACAAGTGTGGAGGAAGTGGTTCAAGACCCCAGAGTGGGAAAAGATCAATTCAAAGTGGCAGGTTGTGCTGGATCTGCAGCTTTTGGAAACTCTTTAAGAGCAAACAGATTAAATCAGTAGGAGAGATGTCGCCGTGTCCCCGGCAATGAGCGGTGATGGTAGAGATGCAGGCGTGTTGAGTGATCATTTGTGCGAGTGAAAGTGTTTGTGGGGCCCTCCGCGGTTTAGAGTTTATCGATTCTGATTCAGTTATTGATACCACCTATACATTCCATTACTTATTGGTTCTCTCATTGACTCAAAATATAGTGCAATAGGGTTTGTTGGCAATAACGCTTTAAGGTGTCAAACATGTTAACTAAAAATTGTGGTTATCCGCTTATGCACATTTGCGAGCATGAAACGTATCTTGTCAATGGCTTCGGGGTTTTTGTTTGTGAAATGCAACCATACTTTCACACCGTATTGTAAACGCATGCGTGTGACGACATTGCGTGTATACGTCATTAAGCAAAAGCATCAATGGTATCGTCAGGCAGAATCTTTAAGTCAGCAGACTATAGATTCCAAGCTAATGGACTATTGGAAACCCAGTTCACCGTGTCCCCGTCCTTAGCTCACGATGTTGCATCAGGATGGAAGTCGCACCAGAAGTAGCTAACAGTTAAAAGTTTATAACGTATGTAAAGTTGGCACAGGTTGTGACTTCTGCATTCAGATAATTAGTCAAACTGGAGAGCATGTACGTGATGTCTCCAAATTCTATGTACAGCTGTGCAAATGCATACGTGTGTGAGAGTGTGGAGAGGTGTTAATCAGGATAACTGGCTGCGTTTGTTAGACAGTTTTTACTGCTCCTCGTTAGCACCATCTTTAGCTGTGAGGAGGATTCTCAAGATTACACTTCTATTTCTGTTACATACAATAACTCAGAGGAACGGTGTTGTAAACATGTTCGTGCTTGTTGTTCGATTCCTACCTTTGTCTAGACTTGTAACTAAGTTCATTTGTTTTGTTATCATTGCAGCCGTTTCCAACCCGGACGAAGATCCCTGTCAGAGGACCTACTGCGGACGAGGTCGGCAGTGTGTAGTGATGGCAGATACCGGCCGCGCCGAGTGTGTCTGTCAGGAGAAATGTCGACCCTCATTTGTGCCGGTGTGTGGCTCCGATGGCAGGTTCTATGAGAACCACTGCGAGGTTTACCGCACCGCCTGCCTAGAGAGGAGACGGATCTATGTGGTGCACAGCAAGGACTGCTTCTTCAGAGGTACAGCTCCACTCTTCCACTGAAAACACCGCTGTGTTTGTCTGTTTAATATCCGAAAACAACACTTCCGGACGTGCCGGCAGCAAATGTTAGTAGTAATTCTTAGAAAGACAAATCTCAACCATCATCTGACATGTGGTTGGCAAATAAATCTAACCTGATCTGATTTAATCTATAATAAAACAATGTAAAAACAAAAAATAAAATAGGTCGCTATATGGATAATTTGATATCAATCCCAAAAAAGTGCTGACTCGTAGGCCATCATCATCATGCTTTGCTGTGTATTTTCCCCTAAATTGAATTAGAAATCTTAGTTTTTCGTTAATGAATAATTTTTTTAATAAATCCTACATTTTATCCATCGGTTTACTAATGCTAACTGACATTTAACTAACATTTTGATCAAAAGGGAATCTCAGTCTTTGACACTTCCTACACATGTTTTCATTTCTCATATCGTCATTTACTTGGAATATACAAATATAAGAGGAACTTGATGTTGGCAGTTTCCTTAGTTTGTAATTGCATTTCTGAATATGGCAGTGCTCAAAAAAGCTAAGGGAAATTAGTTTTAAATAAGTTTCTTCAGTCAGCACCGCAGGTCACAGGTATTTGTTTATTTGAAATGAGGAACACGGGCGCTGATCTAGACGACCCATTCTACCTTGATATCTGAAAGTACGAACACTCCTTCCCGGTGAAAGAATTTTTATGTATGCACACACTCTGACCTCTAACACTCCGCTGGTCTGCACAGCTTCTGCCGCATCAATATTCTGGCTCACACAAATCAGCATCAGGTTACTGTGGATCGCCCGTTCTCTATGGTAAATCATTACGATGTTCACTGCTCGCTATCACTCATTAGCAAAAAGCCTCCCACAGCTGCTCCCCAACTCCCACCCCGACGCTCAGTCACTTCATCATGGCTTCGATTTAATGTTACCTGTTTACTCTCACATATGCACACATATACCTCTACTCACATTCATTATGATGGTGTATGAGAAGCGTAGGTCCTGTCACGGCCTCCTTTAACCTGTTTTCAATATCAGATGATCATAATTACCCCTCAGGAATCCTGAGGGTAAATATGAGAGGGGTAACTACAAAGAAAATATTGAGTTTCTGTTTTAACAGTAAGCACAGACTTATGTTGTGCTTGTCCTTTGTGTGTTTGTCACTCTGACTTCCTACTTTTGCTCTCCACATTCCATCAATTTAAAAAAGCTATTCTTTTAAAATAAATATGAATCCTCTTATTTATCTTTGGGTCATTTGGAAAACCAAAATGTTCTGCTTTAAACTTGGACTTTCTACTTCTGGTCGTATTTAATGGTTTTACTCTTATGTGTTAAAGGCATGGGTTCTTGGTCTTGTTATCCACGAATGACTCCCTGCTGTTGTACTTCCGGAGCAGATTCTTCTCATAGAGGCCATAGGGTGGAATTACTTGGTGTTTTCCGTATGAGTGGCAATATTTAATGATTATGTCCAATTGTAATCTTTATCTTCACAGCTACAAGTCACTTTTCACACATTAAGTAACATGTAGCTAGGGCAGGCGTGGGCAAACTTTTTGACTCATGGGCCACAATTGTCCTAAAATTGAACGGGGGGCCAGGTCAGGGCCAGATAGATGGAGGGTTTGTGTGAACTAAAATAAATGACATGTAAAAGTCACGCATAAAGGCTAAAATGCTAAAATGCTTTTATCATTTTGTATGCCATCTATTGGGGAAACGTGGGTATTGCAGGCAAAAGGAAGAAGTATAATTATAATATAAATAAATGATATTATTTAGAAAAGTTTGACATGCCAGATCGAGGGTTTGTGTGAACTAAGATAAATGACGTAAAAGTCATGCATAAAAGCTAAAAATAAAAATAAAAAATGCCCCCAGGCCTTAGTTTGCCCATGCCAGAGCTAGGGGACAAGAGGGGATGGAGGACATTTGGGTGGACGGCTGAAGCCATGTCCAGCTGCCATTGAGAAAAGACAGGATAAAACCATGAACAGTTCCCCAGTCCATCATAGAGGCTCACAAATCAAGAAAAAAACTATTTATGTTCACTTTTATGGTCAATTCAGGTTGCACATTTGACATAATCGCTGAAAAAATCCACTCACATATGGGGAGAATATACAAATTTCAGGATTTGAACCATTGATCTTTTTGTTGTAAGGCAACAGGACCACCACCGTATGCCAGATTGGTTAGTTCTCTAGACCAGATCTTACCAAACATTTCCATGCAACTTTCTTATCTTCCCTCCAATTTTGTGAGACCCCATTAGTGGACCAAGGGGGCCCACAGCCCCCACTTTGAAAACCACTGCTATAGAATACATAGTGTTCGTTATGAACGGAGCCAACATTGTCCATAATCCAATTTTTGACCAAATGAAGCAGCGATTAGAAGTAATATAAAGTTTTACCCCTTCATATTTTATCTTCTTTCTCCCCCGCCCCTCCCATATAGTCTTCCATCTTTTTTCTGGTCACAGCTTAAAGTGCCTGGAGATTATGAAATGTTAAACTAGAAAAAATATTCTTAAAACCAGTGTGAAACCCACAAGCTCACAGGAAACTTTCTTCCCTTTAGCCATGTATTAAGTCACATGGCCAAAAAAGGATCTTTTTTAATTTTTATTTTTTCTTCTTTCAAATATGATAAACCTAAGAGCTTTTGCTGTAAAAGCCAATTTCCTTCAGCTCAGGGCAGTGGTCAAAGTCACTAGAATACTCTGTAAAGCCTACTCTTGCAGGCTTCGGTCCCATCGTCTCACGGTGAACAATTAGTTCCAATCCCTTCATGCTGGCAAAAGTTAGTGACTTTTATCTTTCATTTTAGCTAAAAGGCAAACTCGCTTGGTGCCAAACCCGGCCTGTTGAATTTGTCACAGAATATTTTACCGGCAGCTCCTTCTAATTCCTCAACTTTGGTCTGTACGTTTACCAGTGTGGGTGTGTGGATATTCGTTCACACACTGCAGTGGCTGTAGCTAATATCGGTGGAATACACTCTGAAACTAATTATAATAAATGTAATTTGAGTTGAACAAATCTTTATTAAGGTCATTATGTTGTATTTATTGCGAAAGGATAATTTTAGGGAGAAAAGGCTGAGTATTGAGGCATAGTTGTTACTAATATTTAGAACAATTTTACTCCATTTTTTTTTTTTTTTTGTTAGATATCAAAGTGCAGTTTGAAGTTAAAGCTAAGTCATGGAATCCATCTGTGGGAGGTCAAATGTTTCCCCACACCACAGCTTCTGACCTTATAGGACCCTCTGGGGTTTTTGCCTTTTCCTCCTGGTACTGCAGTAACTCCCTAAGTACACGAGCGTGCATCTGGGAATAGGGTTAATTAGACAATATAAATGTGAATGTCACTGTGAATTACTGCTTGTCTTTGTATGTTAAAGTGTGATATACAGGTGAGCGGTCCAGGCTCCGCCCCCTCCTGTTGACCTTTGACATCTACAGCAGGTTGGACTGTAAGACTCAATATGAGAATTGGATGTTAAAATGTACTTCCTTTTCAGGCCCATTCACAGATATTATATAAGTGAACCAATCAATAAAGGTTTCACAGTGACTCATAAAAACACAAGTAACATTTGGATCTCAAAAAGCATTTACAATAATCAGTTGCAGAAACATTTATTAGTACGTTATGGAGTATTTACTTCTATACAGTCTTACAGTTACAGCCGACCCTTCAATGCCCTCCCACCCCCCATTTTTCTGATTCTTTTCCCTCCACCAGACTGTAGGCTGTTGGTTCCTTCCTTGTACTTTTCTGATGAGTAGGAGGTTCTGAAAGGCGCTGCGGCTCAAGTTAACATCAGTGTCATTGGTTCAGGTCACATTGGGTTGACACTCATCTGTGTCACTGTTGACTCCCACATGTGACAGCTGACGTGTTGTCATTTGTCAGACACAAAAATAATAGTGAGTGCCTCCAGGGAAACAGAATGCTGTAGCACAGTGAGGGAAGTCAGCCAGTTCATCTGTGTATTCATTCTTAGATGGATGGATATAAATATGTATATATGGAGTACCAACATATCCAGGGATTGGGTTAAATCAAGGACCTGATCTTAAGCTCTTCTTTGTAGAATGATGTGCTTGTCTAGATAGATAGATAGATAGATAGATAGATAGACAGACGGATGGATGGATGGATGGATGGATGGACGGCTGGATAGATAGAAAGAACTTTATTAAACCCTCTTTATTAAACCATTTTTTAAGCGTGCCTTTCTAATAAAATAATTGGTTTTCCAGCTAGCAAGCTAAACCCTTATAATAATAGACTTTTCATTTAATTTCCTTACACGCAGTAATGCAGCAAGGTCAAAAGCCACGTAACCGAGGTACGAGATGAAGTTTTCTTCCAACCCTGTTAGGTTAATAGGTACTAATGTCAACTTGGGCAACCAGGTGTGACGATACTTCACATACGTAAACACACACAGAACACTTTGCCGCCTCCAGGTCTCCCTTGACAGCACTTTATTTGTTACCATGAGCTTATTAACGAGCGGTCAAACTACCCCCATCTTTCTTTTCACCCCCCGGCCCCCTTACCAACACATTTCTGCTTATTTTCTCCCTCAGCAGTCACATGGGCCCTACCTCATTAGGCCCACTTCTTTCCCCAAACATTCATTACGGTGGAAGTATTTGCCATAAAAATGAATGCCCTGTCCCAGAAAGAGACGTCCCCCTGTCCTGATCTGGTCCCTCTGCTGCATAACATCAGTCTCTCCTGTGGAAACCATTTGGTCCCGGTCAGTGTGGGGGCGGGACTTCGTCAAGGATACTAAATGTCCGTACGCAGTATATTAGATTTGGGATGTTATTGTCATATATTTGGCGATGTAGATATATAATAATACTAATACTAATTTGTAAGAAATCCCATTAATTGTAATTCTAAATAATCACAATTGCTTATAAAAATTGAAATAAACATTAAAAAATCT